GACTCCACCACTTCCCTGGGCAGCCTGTGCCAGTGCCTGACAACCCTCTCGGTGATGATTTTTTGCTAATATCCAATCTAAACCTCCCCTGGCACAACTTGAGGCCATTTCCTCCTGTCCTATCCCTGGTTACTTGGGAGAAGAGACCGACCCCCACCTGGCTACCCCCTCCTTTCAGGTCGTTGTAGGGAGCGATCAGGTCTCCCCTCAGCCTCCTCTTCTCCAGACCAAACCCCCCCAGCTCCCTCAGCCGCTCCCCATCAGACTTGTGCTCCAGACCCTTCCCCACCTTCGTTGCCCTTCTCTGGACTCGCTCCAGCCCCTCAAGGGCTTTCTTGTGGTGAGGGGCCCAGAACTGGACACAGCACTCGAGGTGCGGCCTCACCAGTGCCCAGTACAGGGTGACGATCCCGGCCCTGGTCCTGCTGGCCACACTATTGCTGATACAGGCCAGGATGCCGTTGGCCTTCTTGGCCACCTGGGCACACTGCCGGCTCATGTTCAGCTGGTTGTCAACCAACACCCCCAGGCCTTTGTCTGCCGGGCAGTTTTCCAGCCACTCGTCCCCAAGGCTGTAGCGTTGCACAGGGTTGTTGCGACTGGAGTGCAGGACCCAGCACTGAGCCTTTTGAATTCCATACACTTGGCCTTGGCCCATGGATCCATCCTGTCCAGGTCCCTCTGCAGAGCCTTCCTACCCTCCAGCAGATCAACACTCCCACCCAACTTGGTGTCATCTGCAACACTTAGATCCCTGTAACGCTGGGCATTAGAGAGGAAATCTGTGCTAGCTATATGCTCGTTTTCAGTACAGAGGGCTCACAGGGCAATGTTTTAAGTACTCTTATTCTCCAAATTGTTTTGCAACCATTGCACACATACGCAGATTTTTTTTTTTCGGATGATTGTTTTGCACTTCAGTTTGACACTTGGATTTTTGGGCTGCAGAACTCCAAGAACCCTATCCATCAGATGATCTATGAATATATGGACAAGAGACGAGACCGCGTTTTAGTCAAAACCTACCAGGAAGCAGTTCAACGTGTGATGGAATCAAACTACGCCTTCATCGGTGAATCAATCTCTCAAGACCTTGCAGCTGCCAGGCACTGCAATTTGATCAGGGCCCCTGAAGTTATCGGAGCCAGAGGATTTGGCATTGCCACTACCCAGGGTGAGTCACTGTGCACCGCTGCTGTCCCACCTCTCTACTTGGATGTCATGGGTCTGAAGTAGCAGATTGGCAGAGCAAAAAAAAACCCTGGCGTAGCCGAGTCCTGAAACTTGCATCCGTTTACTCCATGAGCACTAATGATCCGGTATGAACAAACCGGTAACCCTGCTGTGCAGTGTGTTCATCCTGTAATGACTTATCACTAGCACTCACCGACTCTTCCTTTGAGCTGCAATAGGCAAAAAATTCCAACTCTCAGGGGTGTCATTGGTTCCTGTGGGGTTCTTTTGGTTTTACCTCAGTCCCAGTAACGCAGAGCTCCTAGGGCAGTGCACAGGGTAGACAGCTTGTTCTCTTGTGGAGCGTGACTGCTTGTATTTCTCGAAGTACCTTCATTCTGTCGTTACTCTGCCAGTATTATCGTACCGCTCTGGCTAGGACAGGAATGGGTGTAACCTAAGAGAAGCACTTGGCTTAGTCTGCTGCACTGGTTGTAGAACGACCATCCAAAAGGTGGGAAGCGGCACCCAGCAAACCCGCTTGGTAGTAGAGCAGAGGTTGCTTAACAATGTTCTGGTGGCTGTGAGCTCTCCCATACTTTTCTCTCTCTGTCATTCTACTGCTGCCAGCATCCCTGTGGACCAAGAAGCTCTCCATTGCTGTCCTCAAACTGCGTGAATCGGGCGACCTCGACTACTTGCGTAACAAGTGGTGGGAGACCAGCTGCCTTCACAAAAGCAGAGACCGATGGAGTCCCCTGCAGCCCCAGGCCCTGGGTGGGCTCTTTCTTACTCTCGCCATTGGCCTTGCCTTAGGAGTGATCGCCGCTGTGGTGGAGCTCTCAAACAAGAGCCGACATGCTGCTGGGCACGTGAAGGTGGGTGATGGTTGTCACCTCCGGTCCTCCTGCCTTGTGACCCTGCTCCTTAGGGAGAAGTGCTGGGCACAGCGCTGGATTGCCACACCGAGCTTGCTTTTTCTAACGAAAGCAATGCAAGTAGGGTGAGGGGAGGGGGGGGGAGACATGCTATGGATTTGCTCTTTAAAGCTGGATTGCCACACCGAGCTTGCTTTTTCTAACGAAAGCAATGCAAGTAGGGTGAGGGGAGGGGGGGAGACATGCTATGGATTTACTCTTTAAAGCCCTGAAATTTTCATGGCTTGGGCTGTGTGATAGTTTTTGTAGCCCAAATAGGGTAACAACAATAAAATAATCCCCCATGCCCCCAAAAATACTAAGTAGAAACATTTACTGTAAGTCCTAGGCAGCCAAAGCACATTCCAATATGCTGAGTGTGTACAGAGGACAGTAAATCATCAATAACAAGTTTATTCTCAAGTATGGCTGTTCTTCAGTCATTTGACAAGCAGGAAAACACATGTAAATGGAACTGCACTAGTATCCGGACATGCACCTCGGTGCTCCTGTTCTCCACCCATTCCAACGGGTGGGTTGTGCACCCTTCGCAGGTGGATTCCATGACACAGAACAACTCACACCCCCTCTATTTCCTCCCCTTTTGTTTTTCAGAAATCTTGCTGCTCTGTTTTCACAGAAGAAATGTGCACTCGTCTACGTATAAAAGAAAATACAAGACAAAGCCAGGAGACTTCAGGGAGGGCTAATGCTTAAGAATTTTTTTGCTTAAAGAATGGGCATGTATTAGGTTTATACCATATATATTTCATAGGAACTACATCAATGTAGAAAGATGTTTTTCTGCAAGTCTAGAGTGTTAGTTTTCTAATTACAAACACACACAGAGCACTTCTGGATTGGTGGTGGAGCTGGATACAGAAGAAAATTAAGTGGCTTGGAAGAATTTAAATTGAGAAGGGATAGAGTGTAACTGGTAAAAATAAGAGAGGTTAACAACTTGGTAAAATAAAGTTGAGATGGCCGAGATGGTGGATCCATACTTACAGTTTAGACGTTTACTATGTAAGTACATGAACGGCTGCAGGAGCAAGTGACTTGGGGTAGGTTAACATGAAGCCTCTGCTTACTAATTACAGTATGAGGTACAATCTTGAAACATTAAAGCTCTCATCTCATTAGTGGTTCTAATCAAGAACCACTCCTTCTTAAACACTTCTGTTACAAACAGACTGTGCTCTTCCCCTCTTCTAAGCAGAAGATGCTGGTCGCTGTGAAGGTCATTTCTGAATCAGAAATGACAGCACTATTGCATAAACCCCCAAAGTGCAGGACTTCTCCTGCAGTGGCCTAAAACCCGCAATTAAGGAGTGACTGGATTCAGAACCGCAAGACACAGACTTGCCCTTTGTCACTTTCCCATCACAGGATACGTGGCCCCATTTAGCTACAGAGGATGTTTTGGCCTAGTTAAGCTGATCAAGGAGTATTTAGGAAGAAGATTGACAGTTGATGTCCAACAGTACTAGAGCATGAAGTCTGGTAATCAGTCAATTAAAACAAAGTACAAGTTCACCAGGCGAGGGTGAGGCAGCAATGGGTACTTTGCTTTATTCTCTCTAGAATCTCTGAAATTCATCGGGAAGAGTTCTCTCCACTGCATATTAAATAGTTTCCTAATTAAGCTGGTTGGACTTGATGATCTTTGAGGTCTCTTCCAACCATAACGACTCTAAGCTGTTTTTCATTTCAGAGCTGGAATGACTGATGCATGCACATGTCGGTTTTCATATTAGTGATTAAATTACTCCATTTACATACTGCACATCTGATGGGGGCGGGGGGAGTTAATTCAGTTATTTGGAAATGGCTTTAACTGCACTGCATGAACAAAGAGATTAATTGTGCTCAGTCCCAGCATTAAATAACTGAAGGCAACAAAAACTAACATACCTGCGACAGGAAAATAGCTGGGTACTCCTGAATAAAGCCCTACACATCCACTTTGAGGGTAACTTAGCGAGACTCAACTTCAGTTCTATTTTAAATACAGCTTAAGTGATGTTTGTTAGGTTAGAAGGTGGATCGGTCCTTCAAACAAATTAACTGCAAAGAGCATGAAACATTTTAGGTAAGTTTAAAAGCTGACATGGAAAACGCAATGTCAGATTCACTTAGCACTTTAAAAACTATTTGGTATGTGCCATGTCATTGCTGGCAGAGTAGGCAGAGATGTATAAAAAAAGGTTTCATTGACATTTAAATATATTTCTATATGAATGTCTCACAGAACAAAAAAATAAAGTCTTTTCATCACAAATACTGCAGCATTAAAATAAACACTTACCAAAATAAACAATGAGTGATATACATATATATATATTTGAGAGTGTATACTATAGAGTGAATCATATTGTTGCTTTTTAAGTCACAAAAGCACAATATAAATACGGAATTTCCTGTGAACTCTTTTCCCTGTTGTAATAAAAATACATTCTTTACAGTTAAAGTAAAACTAGTGCAAGTCCATTCTGCTGCTCCTGTTCACCCAGCTGACCAAATCCATATCATTTACACGGCACTTCATACTTAAAAATGACACTGAAAATTTTCCCTCCAAGACGATCAGCAAGCCAGGAGTTTTTGATAACAGCAAGCTTGAGGCTCTCGCACTTCAAAGCCGCGTAGTAATTTGTGTGGATGGCACGACCCATGCCTTCAATGATCACCAAGTCCGTCTTCCGTTCTCTGACCAGCACAGCCAAACCTTTATCCAGGCGGCTGAAATGAGAGGTCTGGGTTAGACACAGTCATCCTTATACGTCCTACAAAGGAAAGGCAGGCTGTTCTAAGGGCTTTATCGTCTACATAAAACGTGATAGGATATGGAATTACTGATGCCAATAAACAGGAACACTTTAAATCAAAGGAAATGAGATTGAAATGTAGCTTTAAAAGCTTCATTAAATGCAGGCAGAATTGGGATTTCCCAGAAAACACAGGTAAGTTCTGTCTACAATAGAGAAGCTAATTAAAAATAAATAGGTTAACAACATGAAATGCTTCTTATAGTCAAGTGGATTTCTTGGTCTCATGTGGGATTTTACATCATCGATAACTAAGCTGCTCGCAAAACTGATAATGTGTCATTGCTAAACACAAACATGATAAATAAGACATCCAACAACTAGCAAGGCTGGATCAATATTACAAGTCTGCAAGTCCAGACTCAGCAACTCTTAATGGTTGTGCAACAGTGGTTCAGATCAGGAAAGGTGGCTGAGATATTGCCACTCCAGCGCTAAGCCTCTGAACATCCTGCAGCTGACGGAGACAAATAACAAACTGGTACTTTGCCAATATACCTTAGATCTAGACATGGAGAACTCGAACCTGTCTGAACCAACAGCAGCTTCTCTTCCCTCAGTGCAGATCTTCATTGTAAAAAAAAAAAAAGACAAGAACGTTAAACAGCTACCTCCTGAAAAAAATCCAGACAATGAATATTTAAGTTGTCTTTGCAAAGGCTTCTTCTCCTGCTAGGACTTCACCAAGAAACATAATGTTTCCTGGAGCAAAAGGATTATTTAGTCAGCTGGGGATACTCTGTATGTGAAACACAAGTCTTTTCCTCTATTCTTTTGACATTTATGTTTTAGTAGCTTGAGTGGGTATCAGGCAAGACACAGACAAAAAAAAAATATAATAACAGATTTTTCAAGAAAGCTGATTTCTAAATTTTTCACCTTAAGCAAAGTAAATGATCTGCCTTAGCTTACTTCCAGGTTGCAGATTTCAGACACTAATAAACACAGTTAAATATGAACTAAGTATGTAACAAGGAACTTGTTTTTTCCTTTTAAGCATTGTATGGTACGTGATGAAGACTGGGTAGGTGCTTACTGAATTACTGGATCCATTGCTGCTATCCGTTCAGTGACAATCAGGGATTCACTGTAGGTGACGTCATTTAGGGCAGGGCCAGAGTTACAAGCCAATATAACCTGAGGTAAAGATGTCAGAAGAGTTCACCGATTAATGCAGTCCCCATACGGTGTTAAGAGCTGCTCGTTTATTTAAAATCATCCTTGCCTGACTTATTTTACAAAAGAGGAAATGTGAAGAGAAAGGCCGGAGGCCCAGTCCTCGTTCTCCCTCAGTTAACCACCTAGTTCACGTCTTTTGACACTACACTCTTGGTCACCAGACTTGGCTCTGACAGAGGCTCGCTTTGCTTTGCTACCTTTCACCGTCTACTTAAAGTTAGACTTTGGAGTTCCAGGGATTTGGATTATTCCCAATGTAGATGTTAGGATCCAGTTTGGTTGAGTACTGCTGGTAGGGAGTTACCAAATCTTTCACCAGTTACCAAAGCTCCAGTACACAGTGCATGCACAATGAAAACCACTTACCTCTGTCCCTCTAGAAAGGAGCTCTCTGACAAAAGGAAAGACTCCTAAAATTATGTCTATTCCACTGTTATCTGCGAAAATTAAGGCACATTTATGAGGGGGACCCTCCTGTAAGAGAAAATCAGTGTATTCAGGATTCAGTTCACAATTCGTTTCAGTGAACAGTTTGTGTTATTTAGAACTGCTGACTTTAAGACCCCACATTTTATACCCTTAAATGATCGGGCATTTTGGTTATCTAGTAGCAGCATAACTTGTCAGAACATCACCTACCCTCAAGCTTAGGAGAAATTGTTTTCCCTCATATTGTTTTTTGCACGGTTATTTAAAACAGCCTTTAATGACTCCCCTTTGTTTTGAGAGTGGTCTTTCAAACTCCATTAATAAAACCTACATCTGCCAACCAAGGGCATGCCTAACTCCAGCAGCTCTGAACAGGAACGGACTTCAGCGGCTCCTGACCAGTGGAACAGTGCGTAGTTAGGCCTCGAATCCTGCTGTCTGGAGCCTAGGTTATGGCCAGCTTTTTGTTATGCCAAGCAGCTGGAGAATGCCATTCTCTGGAAGAGAAGCAGCAGAACAGGCAGCTGCCTATGTGACTGCGCTGGTTACCATCAGGGTAAACCTACCTTTGTGGCTGTTTTAACCTAACATGTGGTAGGGTGAACAGGATTCCCTTCTGCCAGGAAAGGGCAGGATGGACTGCTGGGGGCAGTGACATCCTAAAAGAAAAGATATTTCCTATTCTCCATTAACATTTTAATTTGTTCTAAAACTGATGTCATGAAACTTAGTTCACTCTGGTTCATACCAGCAGAAGAATTTTTATAGTGAACAATGCCTAATTCCTAACAAAAACTGTCAGGACAGTGCTTGAAGTTCCTTAATTATCACTGTTACACAAGATTAGTTGATAATTTTGTTTTCAGACGTAATACATAATGACTTGCAATAGTCTACTCATACCAAACCTTTTGGCTATCATTTCCAACATAGAGGTTTACACAAAGAAACCACAGTTTTTCAATTAACCTTAATGAAACAGTAATAGAGACCACACAGGGCAAAAAAGCTTTGCTAATTGATAAGTTAATTACATTCAGCGAGCTCCTAAACTGATGTCATTTATAGGCTGGCTACTCAGATGGAGGAACAAGCTAAACATTACATTTGGACCCAAGTCTTCAAAATTATGGGTCTGTTTGTATAGAAATAAGTGCCCTTATAAAGAAGGGACACGACATGGTTACTTTGGAACAGCTCTGGAAGCAGCTGGGTTGCAAATGGTGCAGTTTCTGAAGGAATTCAGCTAAGAAGCTTGGTAAGTAATGAAGTGTCAGACTAATTCCTTTTATTCCTTTCTTTATGGTAAGGCTGCTGAATTACTGGTACTGTGTTACCAGAATTTATTCTGAGTTGTCTGAACAGAGTTCTCTTAAATCTGTTAAAAACCCCAAGATTAATAAGGTGGTTTTACAATTAGTGTATTTAATGACTCAATGGTTAGTAACAATCAGGAGTTGTACCTTCAGTCGCTCTAGCCACTGACTGTAGGAGTCTTCTAACCAGGGACGTTCTGTGTCACAGACAAAACCAGGTTAGCATTTCTTTTAGGCAAACAGTAACTCTGTACATTACAAAAAGCAGGAGGTGTGTCTTTACAGATGCTTAAGCATTAAAGAATTTGAGCTCAGGTTTTGAATGTTAAACGTATAGATTCAAAGAGTTCCTGAGCTCTTAATTATGGGATTAGCTCAATCACAGCACTCTTGAAATAGAATTTTCATAATAAAGCAATGAAGTCATGCAAGTTGGCTATCATAACAACTCCTCCTGGGATGGATGGTGTTGTACCTCCTAGGGCGCTATCTCCTTGTGACTGGGTTAGAACAGTTACAAAAAAATTGCACGGGCAAGATATTCCGAGAATCTGTGCGGCTAAGACTTCTGTTCAAGGAGAGAGGTTTTTCGGATTCCAGCTCCTTCGGGACACAAACAGGAAGATTCCACTGAAACTCTGTAGCCTGTATTTCAGACACCACTAGCAAATACTAATGATTTCTTGTCATCTGGGCAGCAGAACTGCCACAATAAACACGTTCACACTCTCCTCTGTTCTCATATTAACATGATATCCAGTTCCAACCACCACCACCACAGATCTCCCTATACCTTGTAGTTTTGACTTGGCTTCTTCAAATCCAAACTGTGGCTCAGATTCCAGAACACTGCATCAGAAGAGAAATAAAGGGTACACAGTTAGGCAACTTCATCTCACATAAATACAATCCAAACATTTCTTTAGCAGGTGGTCAGCAATTTCACTGCATTGGTTATAACGGGGAGTGTGGATAGGTCTCATAACTGAGAAACAGATACTTTGGGCTTACGTTAAAAACAAAAGGCTCAGATATGCATTAAATTGGAGTTCTTATGCTAAAAGAAAAAAGCTTCAGCAATATACAAATGTTTGCAGGCACTAGACTACAGGCAAAAAAGACATCTTTTGGTCTGCAGACCACAATAAAATGTAGTCATCATCTAAACTATCTGCATGGTCAACCAGTGTTTTATAAAGATTAATTTGAAGATTGGGCTACAAAAGTTTTTTAAAGTTGCACCCGTGTGAGAAGAAACAGAATTAAAATAACCAGACACACGTTTTAAAAGTTACTGCTATTGGCTATGTGTATAGTGAAGTAGCCTCAAACATGTAGGTAGTGATGAGGATTTACATAATGAGATGGCTAGATTATAAGCTGTCAGTTAAAATATTACATCACGTGGGCAATGCTTGCCACTGAAGTCTCCTCAGGTTCCTTAAATCTAGCACTAAGTGACATTTAACTCGGTCAGTTCCCTCCTTCAAGAGAATGAGAGCTACGCTAACACGAGTGGCAAGGAGACTCACTGCTCTAACTGGTGTCTGTTCAAGCTGCTGGCTGTGGGCAACATCAGAAGTAACGCAAGACTAAGAATGCCCACGTAGCCTTGAATCACCTTGGTTTTAATGGACTTTTCCTGATTTAATCAGAGGGAAAACTCCTCAAAGACGCAGAAAGGGAAAGGAAGTGCTGAATGTCAGCTGTAAAACAGTATCCCTCTCCCATGCTCTTGGATCTGTATTATCAGTCCCACAAAAAAGAAAGTTCTAGAATTGAAAAATCAAAAATACTTCAAGACTGTTGGCATTAATATCCTTAAATGAATTCATGGTTGCTGATAGGATACGAGGGAAAAAACTCTCCAAATGGTAATAGGAATGTATGTTGATCAAAAATAATTAGTATTTAGTCATCAAAGGAGACTACCCAACCTAACTTACAGCCCGCTGAATGTCTACGGTGATATCAAGACAACTGGAGGTTGCAGAGAAATAGCATTACTTTCTATTCTAGGAACATAGTACAACACATACCCAAAAGCAGTGCTAATAACAATGCTATAAGCAAAGCAGCCAGGCTGGAATACGAAATGCTCTATCCCTTTATTCAAACATTTACAGTGACATGTCTGCCAGATTTAAAGGGTGGAAATGTAAACTTTCCCACACCACAATAATGCTTGTAATTAAACAACCAACATACGATTAAGGTGAAATACAAACTACAATTCAAAGTTAGATTGGTGCACTCTTTTTTTTTAAAAAAAAAAAAAAGAAGAACAATCGGATATTCTGTATCTTAAAAGGGTGCTTTTAAAATATTTAACACCTACTCTGAGACTGCTTTTGCTCCCCAGTCAAAGACATTCCCCGCAAGAAGTCCTTTCACCAGAGCAAACTGCCTCTCCTCCCAGCCTAATGAATCCAAAGATTCGATTACGCTTTGAAAACATTTTAAGGCTATGCCATTTTCTTTCTGCTTTACCTGTAAGAAAGACATGAAACATTGGATTTATAGACAAAAATTTCTTACCCATCATTGGTTGTCTCAGTCCCAAGACCACGTTCAAGCATTCTCCTCTACGTTCATGGCCTCTAATGGACCAACAAGTTACTGTTATCAGCATGCTTAGTATCAACAAGAAAAGTTTCCTGGGATTCTAATAAAAAGCTTCATTAGTGCTAGGATATGACTTGTAGCCCAAGAATTACTTTTCTTAATAAGCCAGAGGTGCAACAGATCTTGAGCAGATTGGGGAGTGGGAGAGTGGACACAAAAGAACTTTTAGTAGTAATACGATCCATCAAACCCAGGTAATTACCATGAGAAAGCTTACAACTAGTAGTTTTACAGAAACTGGAGAAGATTTTTTTTTATTTTTGCATCAAGAGTTTCATCAGCTCAGATGCTTAGAAGCTCTTGAATTTTTTTCTCTCCTTCGATCTCCAGGGAGATCAGTGTTATGTAGCTAGTTATCTCAAAAAATTTAAGTAATACTGGGTACCATCTTTAAATCAAGATCTTTTCTTAGCAATACCTTGCTGAATTACCAAAAAGTAAACATAAGTGAAAGCCACCTCACATATTTTTTACCTCTTTCTTAGAGTGAATGTAACATCTGACAATACAGGTAGGGAGAACCTGCTATGTATTGTGTAGAAATATATCAACAGTCAGAAAAAAGTCTGTAACCAGACACTGGCACTGTTATTATTTATATGTCCACACAGACAAGTGGTGAGGAGCAGAGGTACAGAAAGTTATTTTTGAGAAATACTGACTTCACATGTCCTTTCCCTCAGTCATATTATGCAACAGAGTAAAATGCAAACAGCTGCACAATGGCAACACGCAACAAATATTGTTAAGAGCTAGAGGTTATGCATGTGTATACACTCCAACCCAACTCTGTTGAGTATCTCAAAAATTACAAAAATAATCAAGAATCCTTTTACAGCATAGCAGTAAATTAATCCAGAGACAATATGTAGGAAAGTAACAAGGTTTGGTTTAAGGACAGACTGTCTCAGTAAGTAAGGGAATGTGTGAAGGTTTGGGTTTTTTCAGGCCTTTTTTGGACATGATGAGGTGGGGGAGGATGTCTATTTGTTTATGAACACGCTCTCTCTTTTCCTTTTCTTTCTTTGAGAGTGGGAAGAAAAGACAAGACACATGACGGTAGATAAAGGAACACAGAAATGCGAGTTCATAGCATTGGCTATTTTTGCACAGAGCTGTTGAGATTAACTGCTCTATAAGGTAACAATGCCAAGTGTCTTTTACAACTGTCTGCAACTTACGTATTTATTGGAAAGTACTTACACAGCTACAGATAGCTTTAAATTTCAAAATGGTTTCCACCCCACGAAAAGAATTATAAGAAGGAGGAGGAAAAAAGAATAATTCCTGAAGTCTGCCAGACTGCAGTAGTAGCCTCAGTATAAAGAGAAATAAACTGACTGTCCTGAAAACTGAAATTCTCAGGTCACTTGTGAGGTACTCCATAATCAGGAGTGCAGGCTTCTCCATGCGGCTTCCTCAGCTCTAAACTGAGGGAAACATCCTCTCACGGAAGGAGCAAGTCACAACAGTATCTGATGACTGACACCATCACTTCGCTTCCCAGAAGTATCAGACAACTGAAGCTGGTAGTATTTTTTGTTAGCATTATCCTCACCATGAGCATGTTAGAGGTCAAAGGTTTTATATCCCATTAACCACTGCTGTTTCGCCACAGTGACAACCACCAACTGGTTAAAACTGCAGCAAGGCAGCCAGTTACTAACCTCTCCCCTATAAGCCATTACTTATACAAAGTTTCAGAGTATGGAAAAAGTGTGTTGAACTTACATGTTGTCCACCCTGTAAAGCAAGAATAACTTACCTTTGAATAGGGATCCGGAAAATTGAACTCGTTTAAACAGTGTTCCCTTGTATCCAAAAGACTTCTAACTGTTAAGGTACCATATGCACTTTAAAAAGGGAAAAGGGGGGAAAAAAAAGAAAGAAAGAAAGAAAAAAAAAGACACAAAAACCAAAAGAGGTCAACTACTTCAAACAGAAAAAAGGTATTTTCTCCTCTGTTTCCTCCGTAAGTCATAGCACGTCACACAAGCAATTAAGTTAAAAGTCTTTACGTGCCACATGTACTGAACACTGTCTCCAAGTGGTAAATCTACTATAGTTTATTTAAATACAGAGAGGGAAAATGTTCAGAGCAAAGCTAAATACTTGAATGCTACCATTTTTAATAACCATGTAACAATTTTTAATAATAAATTTTCTGCCGAGACGTAATTTTTCCGTTAAATTCCAATATACGAGATCCAAAAGTTCTGTGTAAAGGATCTGATGTTCGGCACATCAACTTGCTATAGCCTTCAGCCTACTTAGCTTTCAGTTTGCTCTGCTTCATAACCTAGTTAGCTTTTAGTTAGTTTTTAGCTAGCTTTTAATTTGCTCTGCTCAACAGAAGCAGCAAGTGATGAAAAAGGGAAAATAAAGATACTTACAAAGGCTGCTGCCTGAGTGTCTGGAGCTTATTCCAGTATTTCTGTCGGAACTTTTCAGCTCTCTCCAGTGCATCAATAGAGTCTGGCTGACTGGCTGCAGCACGCTTTGCCACCTGGTAGAGAAATGAGGCAAGAATGAAGTTACCAAATGAATGAATTCTTCCTCCACGTAACTGATCTGAAGTTCAGTCTGAAAAACAACCCCTCCATCTGCTATACCGTTCAGTGCCTGCACACTATCTAGTCCCTCCCACACAGTATCTTCCAGCTTTCCTTTACTCCAACCACCAAAGAATAATTTTAAATACCTCCTTTCTTCCCAAAAGATCTAAAGTTTATTTTCAAAACTGTACTTTAGAAAATAAACACAAGTTCTAACTACTTATAGCGGGGCGGGGGGGGAAACCACAAATGCACATACACACACACACACAAAAGGAGAAAGGCAGAAATTTAACAGACCACATCAACCCCTTGTGGTTTTTTTTCTTTACTACAGTAAGGGCAAGTCAATGTGTTGCCCCTGTGTTTTTCCCAGCTCTTTTCTTCTGGACGTACACTCATGCAGTTTCTGATTCGGATTTGCTTACTAAGTGTACATAGCTCTTAAGTACTAGCATGCACTGACTGAATTAGTTTCACAGTGCAGAAAAAATAACTCCTGTGTGATTAAATCATGCTCTTCAAATACAGAAGTGGCTGTAAGTCAGCAGGACTGCTCCCAAGAGTAAGAACAATGGAAGTATCTTTGGCCTTTGCCTTTTTGGCTTTTGATGGTATAACCATCCTGTTGGCAGCTCTGTATAAAGAGGTGGTAAGTGTCGTTTAAGAGAGCAGATGCTTTGCAAACACCCTTTTAAAAAAAAAAAAAAAAAAAGGCACCACAGGAGAAGAATACTTCTGCCTCTGAAGGTATCAAGCACTTCCTTAGGAGACTGGGACGAAGTCAGACACCTCTGTTAAGAGGGGAAAAGAGGAACTGTACTTACACACAACAGGTTTGACACAGCAGCTATATTTTGCAGGGTAAACATGTTGGTCCACAGAAGATTTATTTGCTAAGTATTTGCACGATTCATATATATGACTGTTTTGTGACATTTACCCCATCCAGTGCCTCCTCAAAGCAGGTGAGCCAGTATTTTCGGGCCATGGCATCATCTGTGAGGTCAACAGTGTCTGGAATATAGGTTGACGGGTCTTTCAGCAGCGGTAGGTTAACAAGCGGTCTCTCCAACCTATCCATTTCAAGCATATCAAACTAGGTGAAAAATGAAAGAGATTTATTAGACCTTACTCAGAAATTGCTTCATAGCAAATTTAACTAGTACAAGGGCTACAGAAGTCGATCCACAGTTACGACTGACAAATTTGCAGTTAACTAAATTAGAGTATATGTCATCATAAATAATCCACTCTCCTGCATGGATTATTTATCCATGTTCACCATAAAAGATTACCAAGTTTCATGTTGAAAACTTGCTATAGGCCCTCTATTTTACTATTTCCCTTCCCTTCCCTTCCTCCCCAGTACCGTCAAATCTGCTGGGTTATCAGGTTCAAAGGCAGGAGCACAAAGAGCTGAGCACAGGCTTATTTGTAAAGGAACGTTGCTATGCTGCTTTACAACTTCCTTTTACAATCCCGATCAAGTCTCCAAACCTTTTCCATACTCCTTGTGAAAATAATGCTTGGGATGAGATTTTTAGGGACAGAGATTAAATTCACATGAAATACATAGTTACACAGCTCTGTGCATAAACTGTGCCTTGTGTCTTGCATCTAAAAAAAACTCTGCACATTTATCTTTATTTTATACACCTATCTAATTGCATTGCATTTGAGTGCTTCATGGCCCAGAAAGCTTCAGACTAAGTAAAGATTAAAGCCCACAATGTAACAACAAGATTTTGTGTACATAAACCAAACTAGTTGCTATAGAACGATTGCCTTCAGTATTAATTTCACTGCTGAAAAGTGGACATTTCTGAACTATGACTGTTGCAAAGAGATTTCACTTTATGTGAACAAAGTGAGTGCCAAGCAATAGAAGAATTCAAAATGGGGAATCTGTGGACAGTATATTACAGCTGGTTTGACACTCCTGTACCACTGCCAGCATAGAAAAAAAAAAAGTTTAAAAAAAATAAAATCTTTTCACAGATTAAAAAGAGTTGACAAACAACAGGAGATCATTAAATCTGCATAAATACTTTTTAAAATCTGTCACCTATTTCACGATTAAGAAGGATCATGTTGTTATTTTTTGGTCATACTTGCCATCCACAATTTCATTACAATAATTTCAGTTATGGCAGAGCTTAAAATTAGATATATTTTTTACATATAGGCACAACCCACAAAATCCATCATCTGCACCTCATAGTGGACTTATATTAAGGCTTGGTCTGGGAAACCATTCAGCAGTTGTGCACTTCATCTTCAGGCCTAAAAAAGCTGAGCGACCAACAGAAAACAACTAAGCAAAGCCAGCAGCTGCTCCCCCCCTCCCACACCCTATAGCAAGTATAAGAAACTAATTCCTGAGAACTGGGAGGAGATAAATCAATGACGGAGGAAATTAAAAAAAACTTGACATGAAAAACACCAACATGTGGACCGGTAAAAGACAGTAAAACACAATAAGCTCCATTATTCCAGCTTCTTTTCAAAAGTACTTCAGTAGATGCAGTATTAGAATATTTTAAGAACCTTAATGTATTTTCTGATTGCTTACTGTATGCCAGTTTCACTGTGAAATCGGAATTACTGTATTGTCAGTGTATTTAAGAGATGACTGGGCTCATGCTCTTCTGTCCAATTATCTATTTCTCTTCTCATAGGAAGCAAATAAATGCTGCTTGAAGACAGTGGAACATCAGAATCAAAATTCTGAAGCACAGTATTTCAGCTGTAGCAAAACCCAGCTACTTCAGAGAAAGGGTAAGAGATGAATGTTTCCACCCACCCCTCCTGCTTTCATGAAGGAGAATAAGACAAAGTAACAGCCACAATCTGATTTTATGAGACATTACATCAAACCATTACACAAGACACAAGACAACATCACACATGACACAAGACACCATATTAGTCACTTCTTTTGGTAAGCAGGAGTCCCAAGGGGCAAGAAGCAACTAGCTTGAGAATAATCATCTATTTTCAAATCACCGTTACTAAGAGAAGGCACTTAGTTCTAGAAAAGACAACCACATACTGTACCACTCCTTGTTCTCTGCATAGGGTAAACATCAGGCGACGTGCTCATAAGACCAGAACTCCCAGCATAATTCTCTCCCCAGCTATACTGATTTGGATCTAGAAAAGAGAAAGACAGAGACACATAATCTGAAAATAAAACTGAAAATACTCCCATGAGTGAGTCTAGAGTTAGCACCCCTTCAGAGAAGTGGCTTCACTACAAAAGACATCTTCCCTTGTCTTTATAAGTAAACATAATTTCTCCCTCTAATCCCCAAAAGAAATGTTTCAACCACTCAGTGAATTACCTAGTTCTAAAGAGCTGCAACCTGAATGAGACATAAGACAACTGAAGCTCTAAAAGAATTCTTTTTTTTTTACCCCCCCTTCTTTTCATTAAGGGCTATAACCAGCATGCCTTCAAAGCACTACCACTGATCATAATTTCTTATTTCTAAATCTAGATCCATTATTAACAAAATATAATTACAAAACTCTCAAAGCACAATTAAGTTTCATATAAACACTAAAGTTACTTCTGGAAAATTTTTTTGAGAAAAAGTTTAATCAAGTTCGGATGTACAGTGTACATGCTGCAGAAGCAATGTCTTTAATTCCTCAGTAGGTGGTTTCTTGCCCATATCTATAAAATGGGTATGAAAAGAATTCCACATCCACTATTCTGAGGTATATTTGATACTTACTAAAATTAAGTACCATTAACAACGTCACTGTCTGTTCCACTGTAACTAATATACTGACTGGCTTGCTAGTACATCAACAAGAAAAAAAGAAAATAAAAATGGCAGAATTCAACCAAAGCACTCTATACCCAAAGAATGGTGGACAGAAGTGTCTCATCCTTCATAAATGTCTGTAAGGCTTTTCACTCTCAAATGAACAGAGTTTTGAGATGCTGGTCTTCTTCAGTACATTAACTGAATTCAGAGGCTGGCCTCTTAAAGAAGGGGAAAAGTTCTCAGAAACCACGTTTCCCCAATTTGATTTAGAGTTATGACTGCTCTTTGCAGAAACGTAGAAAAGAGACGAGCCAAATCCTGCTGGCTTCTCAAAGGTGAGCAAGAAAAACAGTGAGAAATTAAGATGTCCCTGCCAGAATATATAAAACCAAAGGCCAGCATCTGTGTTTATTAGTGCCAAACATGTTTAATTAGGCAACAACTTACATGCAGCCTCTTGAGAGAAACTTGGACATTACACTAACATTTCAGAACACAGCGTATACAGAACATAGCAGTGCTGTACTTACTGTCTTGTTCAGCTCCTTTTAAAAATGCCCCAATGGCTCCCAGGTAGCCTTCATGTCTCAGGAACAATGCCTGAACCTCTCCCTGCCACAATATGAAACATTGCAATTGGATGGTCCCTGATGGCTAATATGTACTTCTTTGTCACTAGTTTTACACTTAAATTTAATAGAAACAACTAGAAGATGGTAATATTCATTTGTGCTACATTCTAACACATTCAGTAACTTTAATGGTGCTTCTGAAACACATTTTTTGCTTACATACATCATTCCACAACTATTAAACAGCTGGGGAAAAAAATACATGCAGAAGTGGTGTGTATTCTAAGCCTGCACAACCACAGAAGCAGAGGGAAGCCAGTGCCTTCACTAGGAAAGACCACTGTATCATTCCATGAATATTCAACTCCTCTTGCTTAAACAGGCTGGAAATAGAAGGTCATCTGATTTCCAGGTCATCAATGTAAGTGTGTGCCACTGTGCATTCAACAACATTTGAGATATTGCTCATTATCTCTGTTTCGTTACACTGCTATTCAACAACATACAGACACTCTGTATATTATCCATAGGCAAGCGTTTCCCCCATCAAATCAGATTAACTGTTAATATAATACACGAATGCTAGGGAGAATAAGAACACCCTCCACCCTAGCAGCTGTGTCCCTTAGCTTTCCTAGGCAAGGCTGGGTGACACACTGCCTTCTCTGAAGGAAAATTAGCTATGTCTGCAGCAGTGACTATAAGAACCGTCACAGCAAAAGATCAGCTACAATTCATGGCGAGATTTGGATTTCAATCACTGATAAAGCTATTCTTACAAGAATCTGAAGATGCAGTCTTGCAATAGTTTTCTTGAAACTCAGTAAAATTTTACAGAAAGGGACCACAATGATGAAATACAGGGGCGGGGGGGGCGGGGGGGAACAGTATATAGGAGCCTCTTGCCTGAAGCACTGAGATGAGAAAAAAAAATTTGTGTCATCTATTCTAAAAATTGCAAAAGTGCAGGAACTAATCTACCTGTCACAACCATTAAGTAAGCTTTTGGACCTGACTATTTTTCTAGTGAAAAATCTTCAGTATTTTCCACAGCTTCAAAACCTGCAAAGAACTAGAGCTTGGTTGTTTTTTGGTTGGTGGTTTGGGTTTTTTTTTTTTGAACAACAAACAAACAATAAACCCCCCCAACAATCCCACATTGCATAGCCTAGGGGGTGAAAAGAAATAGATGCAAGTCAGCAAGAGGAATTGAATAACAATGGTAGATATCTATGAAAATAGTGAAAACTCATTACTTGGCAGCTACAAGACAGACTGTCAATCAAAAAATAATAACAAAGAGCAAGAGGGAGGAAGGGAGACAGAAAGAGAGACCAGACAGAACTCCCAGGCATTTCACATTGATTTTATCCCTCCCACAACAGATCTTTACAGCCCTGCCTTACCTACCTAAAGAGCAGCCCTCTAAGCTTACTTCATGTGCAAATTCATTTATTAAAGTCTCCCAACAACCTAGAAAGATAACTAAACATGTGACTTTGCTGTTAGGAAAATCTCTGTTTTCATTACCTTGGAGAAGAAGTTGATACTGTAGGTTATTGTGCGCATAGTAACAGGGTGACCCCGAATAAAGAATCCTCCAAAATATATTTTATCTAAGTTATGGAGTTTGGCATAGAGGCAGGCGAGTTGACCAATATCATTGCTGATCATATGTAGTAAACTTTTTGCCATATCTTCTTTGGAAAATTCTTAAAGGAAAGACATAGTAAACGAAATTAAAAACAGCTGAGGAATGCTCAAATGGACAGTACTTTTCTAGCAGATAACCTTCAGCTGGAGAAAAAAAAAATACAGAGTTTGACTGCTCTCTTTACGTGTGCAGAAGAAAGGTGTTCCCCCGCCAGAAATTTTTTATAAAGAAAGTACTTCGAATAACAAGGAGTGTGTATTTGACTGAAGATATCATAAAAAAACCCACTAAACTTCTGTGAAATATTGCTTGAAAGAAACCTGCGTGAAAGGCCAATAGCAAATGGAAAAGACTCCATTTCTTCTCTCTGGGAATCATGGATGATGGATCATCCATCCAGTTGGGATGCACTGCAAGCATTTTATTATAATACTACAGATAAAATTGCAAATTACAGTAAATCACTGCCATAGGTCCTTTTCTGGACCAAGAAAGCCCCATACATTTCCCACAGGAATTAATTAACATTGGGCTAACTAGACAGCTATTTTTGTTGTTTGCCTAGACTTACACAATCTCAAACTGAAAATCTGAATGCCTGCTTGTAAGGCAATACTATATAATATTTTTACATTGATAAAGTGTCGTGCAGGCAAAACACATGTAGGCAAGATCTTGAAAAGGACTGGTGGTTATTTTCCAGCTCTACTTGTTAGGTCATTATAAACATCAGATTCCCAAGGGCCAGGGGAGATGGTTGCATTTCTTCTCCTCATTAGTTTCAAACAACAACTCCAAATAACTGGAGCGACTCAAGCAGCGCTCCAAGTCCCCTCTCAGTCCAGCATGCATGACATAGGGAAATGGATAAGGCAAGATATGTTTATGCTGATGAAGCCAGCAATTACTTTTCCATCCATTTAAGTGTTCACAGAAAGCTAGCACAAGCAGCAAATCCATGCTGACAGGCAATATAAAGTATTGACTGTATAGCAAATCTTGGGTAGATCTTTTATATACCAATACCTTTATCTGCTGTAGTAGATTTCCCGAAGCTGCTAGCTATCAGATTTCCACTTAGCCCCAGGGTCTGGTAGGCGCCACCATACACATCTTTCACCAGCATGTCTACATTTGTGTGCTGTCCCTTTGAAGCAAGTTGCAGCAATTCATCAAATTTCTGAGGATGAGAAGCAGAGTTACTCTAGCTTTCCTGGACAGCCAGAGAACCTTGCCCATGAAACCAGAGTTCTGCAGCATTTTTACTGACTAAAACCAGGGGTTTTGGCTTGTCTTAGAACCAACCCTGCCAGCAAAAGATACATTACTTCTAATTACAAGGACCTATCCAGAGTCCATTTCTTATCAGACTCATCTTAAGTGGAGCTCCTTTAATGATGAAAAGCATAACCGCCCTCTTCAGTTATCTGCAAATAATTTGCTGAATTTCCCCTGAAAACTAGAGATGGACCAGCACATATAAAACAGTCAGAAGCCACATGCATCTCTTATCTTGGAATGAAGTCAGAAACACAGTAACTAAAACCAAACAGAATTACGTCTTCTTGAAGCATAAGGAAAATAATGTTAAAAGAACAAAAGACTAAGTCTGCCTTTACTGTTGCAGAAATACATTAATGTCCCTGAAATTCAACTTGCTCACAATCTGCATTATCCCAATACTTAATTTATAAGTCTGTTAACTCTAATTTCTTCTTCTACAAAATCAGAGAGAATTAAAAGCAGACATTGTCATGTTCTAAGATTTCTTTTTTAAAAGCATCAAACAAATATTGCAAGTATGGGTCTTCCCTTTGACATTTTCTTATTTGGTGCATATGTAACTCTAGCTTTTTCTACACTGCTGACATTTAGGGACACCTATTTAAGCCACACAGATCTTTGAGACAGGAAAAACCAGCATGATTTAAGAGCTGAGTTAGGCAGAGCAGTACTAAATCAGGCCTTATTCTGGCAGATCACCAACCTGGTATTTAAGTGACGAACCCCTGAAATCGTAATGCGTAACAAAGAGAGTTAGAATTCCTCCTCTCTATTCCCAGACATTTTGCAGTAATTGAGAACTCTCTGCTTTGCTTCTGCAGACAATATTGCAGGAACTAGGCAAGCATTTCATGTTGAAAAAAGAGTACAGAAAATTAACAGGCCACTTTGAGGAGGCTGTTCTCTGCATTATAGACATTATTTGTCCTTGTTGACAAACTCCTTGAGTCCCAAGTAGGATTACTATTTTGCCACCAATAAGCATCTTATAATTTTTGTCCCTGTATTCTACTAGTATCTATTGGCATTTAAAGCTTCCTTTTATACATCAGAAGCATCAAAAACACAAACATAACTCAAGGACTCAGCCTTGTTACCTAACAGTCTAGGACCACAGGCACCTAATGGAGAGTATTAAAATCGTCCTGAGCATTGCAGAACTGCCTGTTCTATTTCTGCACAAGGGCAGCAATTCTTTGAATAAAAAGTAAACCTCTCCCAAGAGAAAGACATAATTTTTTTCATCTTCTAGTACACTGATGTTGGATTTCTGGTTTCCCATACAAACATTACTTAAAATAATTATTTTTCACTGTTCAGAGTTTGGCATTCCAACATTTCAAGCTTCTTCTTAGCATCTCATTTAATCCCACACTCCTTAAAACTGACACTTTGATACCTTCGTTTTTGTGAGCAGTGCTCCAAGACCCCAGAAGGTTCCACCTCCAATTGAACTCCCTCCAATCCATTCAAACTTGTCTTCTGTTTCTACCTGTCAATAAAACACAGCAGATTTGTCTAGAATTTCCTATTATAACTATAAACACACAGTTAAGTATGAGAGAACGTGGGGTTTTCTGAACAGTGGAATTAGTGTAGGTGGAACAACTTAATTGTGTAAATATCAGGTGAGAAATGCATGTTCCACGTACTTATACCACAAGCAGTTTCGGAAATCTTTGTATTTAATTCTTGCCCAATAATCCAAAATAGAGACATAAAATTTGGTACCCTCAACATGGTACCATAAAAAACAAACAAAGAAACATTAAAAATTACTTTGATCTGACAGCCTTTGCTCTCATCAGTTAATGTAGCAACTTCTCTAAACACCAAATTAAATGTGATTAAAAAGAAACTATTATAGTGAATGGAAAAGCATTCATAACTCCGTAAGAAATGGAAGTGAAAAACACCCATTATTTTCTTTCTAAACTTCGTATTACCCAAGAAGAACAACTACAAATCTAAAACAGTAAGATGTTTCAGACCACCTTTATCAAATTCTACAATAAAACATTTTAGCAACCACTCACCTTCACTATAGAAACCCCAGAGCCAATATTCACCAGTAAATAAGGGAAAATATTTGGGTGGTTCGTCTGAAATCGGAATTCTGTATCTGAATCTTTCTGGTATGCAAACACTTCATGGGGTATGTTCCTTAGCACGAAGTTGCATCCTTTAATTAGGCAGGTCATTACATCTTCTTTATCTACTCTGAGGGGAAAGGGGAGAAAAAAAAGCCCTTACATAAATTTCACAGACCTATTGATAAGCAAGTATGCTTTTAGAACAGCAGTTTCTAAAGACTTTACAAACAGGAGATAGTAACCCATGCCATATGGCAAAAGTCCAGCTCTCTTAAAACATGAAACCTACATCTGCATACGTTCTGATGTTCATCTTCCATGCCAGAACACACAGTCTGAAGTTAGACTGTAGTTACACAGTAACTTTAATCTTACATTAATCATGCTGTCATTAAAAATAATCCAGCTACCCTGTCTGCTTGTTTACACCGCTTCTTTAGTGTGCTGGTGCTAGCACAAGTATACGTGCACCTGTGCAATAAAGTAGCTCAGGAAACTTATCTTGAAATTAACCTAACAAAACAATTCCCTAAGACGAAGTAATTCGCTATTGCTCTTCCCCTTCCTTTTCAATAAAGGAAAAAAAGCCCCCCCCTCAACATTTCAGCACTCATTTATGACAGATTAAAGTGACCGAGAGGAGCCTATTAACTGGGATTACCAAACACAGGGAAAAAAGACTTCACACAAGAATAACAGGATTCACAATAGTGCATATCCTGAGCACGGAGTCTGGGAACATGATACATAATTTAGATAAGATGAACCATGTAGTTAAGTCAGCTAACATTTACTGACTTCTGTAAACATTTTATGTGTTGTTACTGATTTATGACAAATTTCTTCAATGAAATATGCTAAATTTCTTACATGAAATATCGTAAGCCTTGTTGAAAATCCATAAACAAAGCACAAATACACATCTCAATTAATACAGAATGCCTTATGTGCATAAGCATGGAGAAGGTGCTGCTTTTTGGGCCTGTGGACCAATTAAGTATGTCATGACCAAATAAAAATCAAAGAAACAAAAACCAAGTGCACCACATGAGAAAAGGGGGGAATTACCTCCTTGCCTTGATTAATTGATACTTAGTAACAGCCAATAAGGTATCGATGTATGTTGGTTTGAAAAGAAGTTAACAGAATCCTACCTATCAGAAGAAGACAGTAATTTGAAAAAGTAGTATAAAAGAAGATGAACACGGTACCTCAGGACCTGAAGAATATGCTACAGAGCACAGGAGGTGTCCTGAAGTTCTCCCAATAATAGCAGGTGATGTTTTATATTGGTATAAACTAATGCTATTTTTGTCTATACTTACAGTATCTTTTTTGCATATGGTGTTTGATAAAAATGTTTGAATGGTAAATTTATGAGGCTCTAAATTCATGAGACTGCCCTTTAGTCTCATACAAGCCTATGCTTCTGCATGAAGTTTAGGTAGGAGCTATACAGTAAGTTACTATAACATACTAATTACTCCCTTCTGAGCATATGCAGAAAAATGTTAGAAGCTTTTGGAACTCCAACTTGAGAACCTACACAACTATAGACATTAGGTATAGCCAGGAAAAAAAAGTGTTTGCCAGCAGTATTTTGGCTTCTAATAATAAAGTTGTCTTGTGGATTTCATCCTTTAAGTAGAAAGACTGACACGCTCACCTCATCACAGTAACTGATCAAAGGTTCCCAATTAAAATTCTTGTTAGTAATAAATTTACTAACTACTTACTACTTGATTTCAAATATTACTTCATTTTATACACCACTGTAGGCTTTGTGTATTTGAATCTCTACTCCAGCAGAGTTCAACAGCATGTCCAAAGCATGCTACTGATAGCTAGGATACCATCACTGAAATGCTGCTAGTTGAGAGGTGAAAAACAAAAAACATTATCATAACCATGACAGAGATTAATTTAACTTAAAAATGGAGTAGGTGCAAGTTAGATTCTTTATAGAAAAATGCTGTGATAATACCCTGCTTTCTTCTTTTGACTGGCTTTTTCCTGAACACTCTATTCCTGTCAGTTGGCTCTAATTCCTGCACCTCTACTGTGTCGGTTAATGATAAAGTTATCTTTTTGCAGCTTATGTTCACTGATGAGTCAATTCAGCCTGGTCTGACCAAGATGCATGCACACATTCTACCGCTTCACGCTTGGAGTGTGGAGGGATTTTGAGGGCAGATGGGCAAAGTGGAAAATTAACCTAGTAAAAATCTCATCCAACAAGAAATACACTCCTAAAAGTTTAAACAGTTCCACTTACTTTAACCCCAATTTCTTCTCAATAAGATCTTTGAATTTATAGGCACCACCACCTGTAGCTTTGATGACCTTTGTCTCTGTATTGACAAGATGGTCTTTGATGAAATCTAGGCAGGTTTCAATATAAGTGTTTTCAAATTTAATGAAGTGAAGTCGAGCTGTAATCTCTTCCTGAACCGATATTTCATACAAAGGTTCATTTTCTATGTCCTTTAAAAGAGAAAAGAATTTATGGATCATTCAAAATCCTTCCTTCAGAAACAAGGTTACATGCTAAACTACTGAACATCAATACCTGTGCTTCCTTTGCCTTGAAACTGCGTTAATGCTATTAAAAATATAAGATACCAAGCTACTTTCAAAGAAGAATATAGTTTCAACAGATCTTAATTCTCCTTAAGCTGAGAATATAATCAATTCTCCCGTGCATTAGACAAGCACGAAATATCTCTGTATGAGAAAAGTTATGTTTAGGAGGGAGTATGGGGTTTTTTACAAAAATACCATAATTATCTGTCTAGAAAATAACTATTTCAAGCACAAACTGGCAATACAAGCACTTCCAAGAAGACAAGGAACGTAACTGAGTTTGCTTGCGCATGGGCTGCACAACTCTGACGCCCTGCATCAGTCTTTCAGTAAAGAGAACACGTATTATGTACCATCACATGAATTTAGATCTAGAGCTGCATTAAGCTTGCAAAGCAAAGATAATTGCTAAACCCATGCTAACAACTAATTTCCTCTGGAATATAGCAAAGGGTTATTAACAGGAGCCAACACTCATTTGAGCTGCAGTACAAATGCTTAGGGAAGGCTGTAAGTGTCAGTACATACTAGAATGCATGTTGAAAAGAAACATTTTGGTTGTGACAACTTACTTCAGAGTAACAAACATTACAGGTGGTCACACTTAAACTGTAAGAAAGTTCTAGATAAAGTTGACATACAACAAGTTACTAGATGGGTTTCAGGTGAAGTTTCTATTCTACTATGAGAAGCCAGTCCAGTACTTCACTCTTATGAGTCAATAGCATGCAACTGATTAATAATACAATTCCCACCTTTCCAGAACAATCAAAGGATCTCACTCTTGCCACTTTGTGCTGCACAGTTGAATAATAAGCTAACTTGGTTAATGAACCACCTGTGAATAAAAAGATGACAAGTTATGATTAATGCCTCACCTTAGAGTAAACAACATAACTTACGTTTATATATACTTTACCTAAGAGTTCTTGTTTTTTAAAATCTCTTCAGCTAAAGCCAGATATAATTAAGGTAAATGCATAATGCAGTCAGCCCAAGAACCCTTGTCTAGAAACTGATGTGGCATGGTTAACTCCAAATGCACTACCCATCAAAAAAGCTCCACAAGTTGAGCTTATGCCCAACTGATGTGGGGATAAATGTGGCATGGTTAACTCCAAATGCACTACCTGTCAAAAAAGCTCCACAAGTTGAGCTTACGCCCAACTGATGTGGGGATGACTGAAGATGAGCAGAAATAAGTGGAAGTTGTTAACTGGCTAGGCTAGCACATGTATCACTGTTGTTTACCTTGCTGGAAAACTCTTTATAAAAAGACCCAAATATGCTACCACTGTTGTTTACCTTGCTGGAAAACTCTATAAAAAGACCCAAATCTGCTGCTTATAAAAGGATTCTATAAGTAGATTTGCCACATTTGAGCAATGCATGCCATATGCATAATCAAAAATTGTTTTGTCAGGAACACTTAAGTAAATATTCTTAACCTGCTTCCCAGGACAAGCTACAAATTCATAGCTGGTTAAAAGATGACTGTATGTACCAAATAACTATTGTGCAAGATTATTCTTGCCTGTGGGGTAAAGAACACTTAGAATGATGTTCCTCAAGCATACCAGTTAGCCATATTACCAACATGCAGGTCTGAGCAGACCAGCCTCATCACCTGCTCTTCAGGCCTTGAGTCTGCTTACATCAAGACAATAAAACTTCCAACTGTTGTCTTGAAACAGAACTTAACCACTTGCCCTACCTGTGCTGTCTTTGCATCTGACCTGCAAAAATCAGTTTCTGAAGTTAGACTGAATAACTTCACTAACTGTTTTGTCCTAAAGAAAAATAGTACCTGCTGGTGCTTCTGATACCACTGGTATCTTAACCAAGTAGATATTTCAGTCTGAAAGTAGGAGGCTGTCAAAGCCTGCTTATTTTTGTTAAAACAAGCTTTTAATTTTTTCCTCCCTTCAGAAAGAAAAATGCCTCTTCAACTACTCCTGAGTATCAGGATCTGATTAAGCTATTGGTTTGCTTTATAAACCTGTAAGCTTCTTTGGCTGTTGGAGAAAAACCCTTAATTTTAACTCTGCATAAAAAGTACCCTGAGCTGCAGACTATAACCTCCCTTATCGGTACAGAAAGTCAGTTCTAACTTTGCACCCAAGCTCTCAGAACAGAAGCACAAGGCAGTCAGGCGGCCCACATCTTTCAGGGCTACAGGCCTAACATGTAGTGGAATTTCAGTCTGCATGCATTACTTGCTTCTTGCCAAGGATTTGGTATGTTATCCCTTTCAGCGAGTTTACCATGCATCTCAGAACATGCTGCGTACAAGTCAGGAAGTAATTATCACCAACTACAGGGTTAAAGTTAACATCCCAACATTAAATAAAAATCTGGCAATGTTAGATCATAACATAACGGCTAAATTCAGTGGCCCTACACTCTGCTGCCTTGTAAACAAGCGTAATCAAGAAATGCAGCATGGGCAAGTGAAAAATAATCAGCTAGTGCTTATAGCTTTGCCTTCGTAACAGTACTCTCATCTCTTCCATAGTGTTCAAATAAACAGGAAATTTTTTTGCAAGTTGTAGGAGAAAAACGGGCAGCTTTCTCCAGCAAGATTTGAGGTCAACTTACAGTGATCACTGACAATAACAAAAGCAATACAGCTTTCCTGACCTCAGATCTTACTTCAGTGTACGAGCCAATGCTTTAAAGTTTCTGGTAAACAAAATCCAAACTCTGTTCTGCTAGCTCATTGCTTAAAGGTGAGGGTTTTTTTTAGCTTTTTTAAAAAAAACTAAACTCAGTACCTCTGTGCTATGAGGAAAAGCTTCCTTCCAAACATCTAAAGGAATCGTGAAGCTTGTGGAATGTCATACTGTTTGTACAACACTGATAGTGATACAGGTGCTTCAGTAATTAATTTATCACCAGATAAATGGTAACTAAAGCTGTTTTATACATTCTCACCTTCCTCTCCCAGTTTTTAAAGACTTAAATTCATTCAGAACACCAGCTGAGACATGTAACTAGGCTTTATAACTAATCCCACAACTCTAATTCCACTCTGACCCACAGAGAGGACCAATTCCAGCTGTTATGTTAATAGGTATGAAACAACTAGCTTCTGAAGGAGTCAAGTAGACTTGTGATACAACAAGATTGTATATTATGGTGCATATATTCTTCCCACTACAGAGTAAGTCTACACCACCCAGAGCAGTGTTAACCAGAGGACTAATGGAGGCTTGCACCAGTACCACACAGTACTGTGGCTGAAGAACACTTTTTTTTTTTCCTGTTTTTCCTACTAAACAGTTCCACTGACCTAGTAACTGCAAAATGAAAACAAAATGTGTGAACCGGCATTTTCGGTTTTGCAGATCTCCATGAAATGAATGCTAATCCCTGCACAGGTGAAGCTATTGTTAACAGGCTTAGCTCAGCTGTGTCCCAGCATGGCCCCCCACCCCAGCACGATTCCCTGCTGTGGTGCTCAGGTGTGACTTTGATGTGCGTTACCCTATCTGTCCCTTGCTGCAGCCTGTTGTACACCCAGTATGTTATGTTCTCAGGCTTACACGTAGGACAAGGGGTGCTGCTGGGTGTGACTGAGGAAGCAAGTGCAGCCAGCTACCGTTACAGGCCCCCAGCCCACGCCAAACCCACTCATCTCTGCAGCCACCCTGCTTTGCCAGGGCAGCTGGAGCAGCAGCTTTCCCCAGCCCCCGTTCGTCTTCAAGGCCCATTTAAGGAGCACGCAGGACCGCACGCAGCGCCCTGC